TATCCAACGCGAAAAGCTGAACACAGATTGGCGACTCGAGAATCATTTGTTCTTACGCCAACATGTAACCAACAATAAGGTTATTATACACAAGGTCTAAGAATAAATGTTATAACAATAAATCACGATAATACTTCTGATAGTTTTAATCTTCCTCTGAACAGCGAACGATGAGACGATGACTGCCGGATTGATGACCCGCAAAAATATGGGGGAGTTGTGTTTGAGCAAACAACCATGAATTGGTTGTTCAATCTTCAACTACATTGACAGTTATTTTTTGGGATTATGTTCTTTCACTTATACCATCAGTTTGGGGGATTTTATGGCCGCTTCTTTTGTATCTTATGTTGACGTATTTTCGTTAATGCTTTAGTCTTAGTCTCATTCTTAAGGAGGCTTTCCTCGTGAAACTGCCCTCGATCACAAGCGGATGCATTATTTACTTGTATATAGATAGAAAACGAAATTAAACCTGGCATGAACGTCCGGGTCAGTGATGTGTTTGCAATTTATAATCACACTATTCTGATTAACTTTTGTTGTAAATCAGCCATTGAAATGATCGAAACTATACAAATTTTTCAGCATTTTGCATTATCGCTGCGCCCATAGTAATTGGGTCATTTTCATGTGAATATATATTTATTTATATCAAAATTTGTTAATCTTTATTATATTTTAAACGAACTTGCGGAGTGCAACTGTTGTTATCATCATCAATGGCATCGAATGAATCATCCGGTTATATGAGCGACAGGGAGAGCCATCATAGTGAGGTATGTACCCTCTGTTTTAGCTAAAATAAGATGATCAGCCAACACCACCAGAAACTAAAGAGAGCGGAACTGAATACATGTTTCAGTTGGAGATTACCAAAACCTGTATAATCAGTGGACTTAGTCTTTGCACATAGCGTCTAAATATTTTCACCCGACTGGCACTCTTTTGATGACTGCAGAGCCACAAACAGACAAATGGTCTAAAATACATACTCGCTGGGCTACATACAGGACTTTATGAGTGGTGCATTTGGTGCTATAACATTAAATAAGGCGTCAAATTTCGTGCCTAAAAATATTCGAAAACCCAACACGAATCACCGAAGAGATATAACAGGGGGTTACTTCCTCCACTCATGTAGGAGGCTCGGTTTCAACTACAGGCACCTAAGACAGATGAAGATGTCAAATTTAGCGAGAATCGGAGAGACAAGATACGCCTTCACCAGTCTGAAATCCTCTGCACTTCGCAGGATAAAGAACAAGGTTCGGACTTTTAGCACAAATATGAAGTCAGTCAGTTCTCCTATACGGGTCAGAAACTTGCACTGAGTGTCACGAAAAGGATTTTCAACAGCCAGTCGTAGACTTTTATCATCCATCCTCGGGATCAAATGGCAGGTCAGAAAGAATTGGCATCAAGAAACCCCGACTGAGAGCAAACAAACCAGGAGCTAATCACTTAACAAATGTGTGGGAGAAAATGAAAGTGGGTTGGGCACTCTTTGAGAAGATCGTCGAATGATATTGCGCGCGGTCCAGGCCACCGTTCGAGTGGAATCTAAATGTGTCGTCCGATGGTGATATGGAATAGGTCATGTGAGGAGTAGATGAGAGACTATAGGAGGTCATTTGGGCGGCTAAAGAGGGGCGCAGAGAATGACACAAAGTAGAAACGTGTTGTTGAAGCCCTCTATTCCACTCGAAACCAAAGGGAATATTAATGATAAACAATAATGAGTAAAACGTATTTACATGGCAGATTCCAGGTGACCACCATTTTTTTTTGTACACGCAGACCTGATTTACAAACTCTAATTGCACAAGGTAACAACCATTACTACTAATATTACTCAGCTCACAATTCTTTATGTTTAACCTCTATTTCTGGTGACTAGTTGTTGGCTGAAATTTCTCCCAGTAAATCTCTTTTGTCAACGATTTTTAGTAAAATTGTGTTGAATGCTTTCTGGACTGATAGGACTTCTCGTTTTCTGGCTAGCTATGTTTGTGTCCATGTCATGTGATCCGACTGCGACAGACTCTAAGCATATTGGCTGCAATGATTAGTGTTTCAGGTGGACTCTGATTGGATAGTTGGAGGGTAATGTCAACCACGCAAATAGTTTACTTTATGTATAAGCTGCAGCTTTCAGTGCAGTATCATTCGATGAAGATTTAATACGTGAATTCATGTCTCGGGATATCAATGTGGCTATTTTCGTGTGAAGAACAGTACTATTTGAGAAGTGAATGCTGTCAGTACATGGGAATCACCTGTAAATGCTAGCGGAACCTTCTGTGGGAACCTAAGTTATCAAGCATATATGTCTTTCACATTGTCTATTTTTGGACAGCAATTATCGTGAGTTGAAAGGTTATTTCTAAGTGGATTTAATAGACAGATTATGCTTCTGCCTTTAAACATATACCACTCGCTCAGCCTTATATTAAGATGCGACCACGTGGGCTCTGCACAGATTTATGGGGCATCTTACAAATTAACTTGCTATCCATTGTCGGATCTTTGAATACCACTTCACAATGTCTCATCTCATTTATTTTCTAATAACGTCTTAAAGTGGTCCTCATTACGTTCCATTAAACTTAACATTTTAAAGCCTATATGAATTTGATTCGACTTATTCTATTCCTATTCTCTGTAGGGTACGGTTGTGCACCAAATAGACAAGAAGGTATGAAGTAAAAACAACTGGCTTGAGAATAATTGTATTGAAGCCAAAAGTGGACATCATGATAGTAAGACTTATGTTGGTAGCATTATACATTGCAAATGAGCGTTGTCAGCCTAGGGAGTTTCCTTCATGAATGCATTTATTAATGATATATTGCACTTACCTATTTTATTACAATTTAATGATTCACCTTAGCACTTTAACTTTTCTAAAACAGCTTTCAATCCGTTGTAGAAGTCGTACTTACCTCAATATTGGTTGGTTATCGTATGCCGATAACTACGGGATGAAAACGAAACGAAGTCGATTTTCCCGCGAAACCTGGAAGACAACTGCACAACTCAATAACTATACGGCCTGGTTCAGACAATGAGTGTAATTATATATGTGTCAAACATTTAACTGTTGAAACATTATTAACTTGTAGACAATCAACGATTTGACATTATATCATATTTGATCGTGCCTGTAGAAATGGCATGCATTTTCATGTAAATTGATATGTTTATATGAAAATATAAATTATTGTTACTATATATTTGCACTGACTGGTACGGTTTGATATGGGTTATGTGAATTAAATGTATAAAAAATATCTCAACTTAATTAATATTGTGCCATTCTGAGTATTTATATAAGTGATGTAATTGAAAAGCAATGCATCCATATTTATTTTAATCTTCCATACTCCCTTTCCCTTGTCTACCTAAAGATGACGTGAAAAACATTCACCCGCGTCTTGCACGATTGATTCAGTGTAGTTTATTCACTTACTAGTTTTATATCTCCCAACGTACTTCCAGTAGTATACATCCCTGTATGTAGAGTATTCAGCAGAAGAATTTTGCCGACATCCGATGAAAATATTGAATCCTGCTTTATTAACTTTCGCTGCTTGTTTTGAGTTCGTATCGGGAAATAAATGTTCCCAAACCTCGGCTTTAGTCGGCCATTCAGGCAGGCCGTTGATAAGCGTTCTGGAGGACGAGATGGCATGCATATATCAGTATCGAGTTCTTGTTTTCCTTTAGCCACTGTTGGTAGTTATTAACACAGTATAGCATACCAAAAAGTTCTATCTCAAGATGAAATCCGAACGTTTATAGTCTTTTTATGGCGGATAATGGATTCTTTCAATGCTTAGTAAGAATCTACGGGAATAAAATGTGTTGCCTTTAATAATAATAATTTTTCCTTCACGTCCCCCAGTGGAACATAGGGCTCCAAGCTAGTGGCTTGAAGTTTCTGTAGCAGAGTTTATTTTAGAGGATGGGGTTGCTAGCCCCATGCCCAACCTTTCCTCTTTACCAGGATTATTTCTGGCTTAACGAGGTAAAGGAGTGCGTCGGCCGGGGATCGAACCCTGGACCATGTGCATGGTCGGCGAGCGTCCTAACCGCTATACCACCGACGCACAAAACATTATCAGAGCGAGGCGCATGCATATAGCCTTTAATGACCACAAAATACCTGTCAATTTTCAAAAGGAATCCTCGAAAGTTGAAAATGATTTTCGCACACATTTTAAACAAAGGGAATAGTTTGTTGAGGATACAGTATGATAGGTTTTTCAATAGCCTTAAATCCCGTTTATTCACACTTAGTTTTCAGGGGGTGAATCACAACGTCTGGCTTTCGATGAAAATTAAGGGTTATCTGATAGTTTATGTGGAATAGAGAGCTCCGCAATGTAATAATATCAACCTTCGTGATATTTCAGTGACACTTGACTGTAGTACCTGCTCTGACCATTTATGTCTTTCTTGAAGATCTGTGCATGATGCGCGTGTAGATCAGTTACAGGACTGCGAGTAAGGAATTGGATATTCCTAATTCACACTTAGCCCAAATAGGAGAAAAAGAATGCTTCATATGGAGAACTCTTCATCTACTTATTAGTAATGAGCGGTTCTAAACATGAATGAACTCTAATGTTTCCTGTTTTGGAGCTTTCTTGACTTAAGAAGCTTATGATGTGCAGCTTAAAACCACAGAATAAACTTGAGCGAGAGGTTTCCTACTACATGATGTGAAATCATTTCAAAAAGTAGATGAAACCAGTTTTGAGAAGTCTTAAATTGCTTGAAGGCTTGTACGGGTCAATTTGAAAGTACACTCTAATGAAAGTTTCAGCGGGACTTTGTTTTAACGAGTCAATGCTCGAATTAAGGTCACAAGTGGCTAAAGGCGGGGTGGCCAGCGGTTCCTGGGACTTATTACTATTTAAAGTCCTGTTTTATTAGATTATGTCAAATATTTGGATACTTTCCCTTGAATTCCTGTTAAATAAATTTTAATCGTAATGCCGCAACATCGGAAACAAGTGAATGATAGTTGCACTGTTCAAAACCAACCACAATCTCGTGTTATTCACAGGCCAATCCCCATTACAGCATCATCTGTTGTGCTGTCTCCTTTTGAACTAGTTACTCCAAGGATGCCTGTTAAGACAGTTGCTGATGTTCCAGATTCAGTACCATCTGGGCACTGGTTTCATGGAAATATTAGTCGTGAAGATACCGAAAGGCTTCTTAAACATCATTCTGTCAATGGCACTTTTCTGATACGTTTCAGCACATCAACTCATAAATATGTTCTCAGTGTCATCTACAATCAACAGCTGTATCATTATCCGATAGAGGAGCTTTCTGACGGATTTTATCAGGTACTTGTTTTAAACGTGTGAAAATGGTATATATATATATATATATATATATATATATATATATATATATATATATATATACGAACTTAGGCTTAGATGGACTTTCACTTAGTCTGTGTAGAAATAGTCTAATCCATCACTTTTCGGTTTATAAGCAAAGTGCGAGACCCAAACATGTACTTGCTAGTTTTCGGCATAATCGAATCTCTCAAAGATTTCTAAATTCTTATTAACTTGTCTTCAAAAGTAGGTTGAATAAGAGAACTAAAGGTAGTGCATGATTACTGACTGTGGCTATCCATTTTTAAAAGTTTTTCAAAACGTTGAATCGAATAATCAAGTAAACTCTGGGAATAGTACAGATAGGGATAGAAAGTGGTTAAGTAGTTCTCCTCTAATTTCTAAGTGTACTAATATATAATATTGAAGAATTTCTATGGCAGAAAGTCTTCTGTAGTTCTGTAAAAATAACAGTAACGTAACTCGCTTACCTGACACAAGTTTCTATGGACTGTGCTGTCATTTACACTGTATTATGTGAAATGCAGAACAGTTCGTACCGTTCATCAGCTGCTTGAAAATCAAGAGTTTAATATGAAGAACCAAATCGATGGACGTATTCCAAAAATCTTTGCAAATACAGTTATGGTATTTTAATTACTAGTGTGAAGGGGGAACTTTACTCGTTTCCTCCCTTTCTAAAGCCTTCATGAGAAGTATTTAAGTTCAGATATATAATAGCATTGTTTTATCAGTTTTAGGTGAGGGTAATTAGTTAGAACTAAGTTTCCAAAACATATTTTTTATGTATCAAGCCATAACTCACACTTCGTATTGTAAGGACTAATTATCCTACTCAATCACCCAATTTGCAGCAAAATTCAAACCTGGAATCTGTTGACTGGCATTTGAGTATTTAGGCGTATAAGCCACGAGTAGAAACACGGCACAGCCTCGCACTATGACATAAGAGTAACATAAGTAACCGAATAGCATGCAAACAGTGGTGTCAGCATCACAGAAAGCCATAGCAATAAAGTCGACTATAAATCAGTTGTCTGTAACAGCTATTTCGTGTACCATACTAGGGGTTGATGCTAACACCGGGTTTCTACTTGCGGTGAATTAAGTGGATTGGGGTTTGAAATTTAAACCCATTGGCTAGAAGCTAAATGTTAGAAGTAGTGAGCTACATTTAGATCTTGAAGCTATAACGAATGTAAATGGAGCACCATTATGCTACCGCTTCTATTAGAGTACTTACTTTACTTTGGCTGTCTCCTACGGGAGGATGAGCCGGCTTCATGAACATCTCGAATCATCGCTGCCCAGGCGCGGCGATCTGATGCAAGGTTTTGCGACAGGGTTATCCAATTCTTGTTCCACAGACGGAGTCCGTAGACGGTTTGTAGCCCCAGCCCAGGCACTCCATATCAGCCTTGACTGTACCAAGCCATGTTTTTAGCTGTCCACCCCTGCGACATCGCCAAGATGGAAATGGCGAGGGATTTAGAACTGATTTGACCAGATCGTCATCTGGTCGGCGCAGAACATGGCCAAATCACCGAAGGCGACGTTGTTGGACCAGTACTGGAATTTGGTTGATGTTGTAGCAAGAGAGTTCATGAAGTTTCATGGGAATTAGGTACGAGCGATGTCCCAAGCATCGCTCGGCCTTTTGTTTGAGAGTGCAGCTCTAGCCTTTACACAACCAAGTGTGACCTACAAGGCAGTAGGAGTGGAGTAGGGAGTCCACTATCCATTTGCAGCCGGTGACCGGAGTCCGGTTCATACGCCTTTTTGAATGGGGTCAGACATCCAGGGCATCCAATAAGCCCTTTGTCCATACGTCTGCCGGTGAGCTTCGTACGCCAGTCGTTGGAGGTTTGGAATCAGGGCTTAGCCATCTCCCCTAGACTGTCATCCAGTGGACAGTCAACCCGGTGAAGAGCGCCGGGCATCCGCTTTCGCCCTCTCACTTTGGTGAGAAACACCTCCGCCACGTGAAGGCAGTGAGTAGGACTTCCTCAGGAGAGGCTATGTAAGACGCCCGGACATATGGGAGCATTTCAAGAGGTGTACGGAGAGGTGGTCAACCCGCAGCGCAAGGCACCCACCCCCGACCATCCTGAGGCTTTGGAGGCTTCTGATGGAGTTATCTAGACTGATTGAATTTTCAATGTAAAACTCTTCGCATAAATACAACTTTTGCAATAATGCTGTCGGTACGGAGTAACATTGCAAACTAGTTTATTCACGGTGTGAATATATATATATATATATATATATATATATATATATATATATATATATATTCATAATTTGTTTCTATCTGAGCATCATACAATTAAAGGATCTTTGGTTGTATTTATTTTTTATCTTTTGATGACTACCTTCGTTATTGTTTCTGAATTGTAAAATTAGGGAAATATTTATCATCCACACGTTCTACATCATTCTTTTCTTCTGTTCCTCAGGTGAATGGAACAAATGCTAAATATTTAGGCATTGATTTGCTTGTATCAGAATTTAGACGTGCAAACAATTGTATTGTTTGTTCGTTAGGAAAACCAGCTCCAGGTGTTCGACCACCTCCTCATATTACTGTCTATGGTGTAACCAATGATTTACATCATGCTGTAAGGAAAGCAAATCTTAAGGTAAGATATTCATGGTGTATTTCTTCTTTTCGAGTTTGTTAAATCTTGTATAGTCTTGTTTTTTGACTTAACAATGGATCTCTTGCAGTGGTTTTGTTTAAAGTGTCATTTATTTCAATTTTATATTTTGAGGATGCAAATAGATAGTTCGCACACAAAAATGAAAGTATTGACATCATAAGCTAATGTAAAGTCTCTGTTTTCAACGTAGAACTTTGCACTGATGTGCAGCAGTTAAAGTTGCCACGGGTTGATATCAGTTAGGGAAACATTGAAAACCAGGGAGTACTGCCAGACAGCTGTTTCATCCTAGTTTGGGAGTCATCGGCACTTTGTACTCACCAACAGGGTTCGAACCTCAGGACCTTCCAGTTACAAGGCAAGCTCGTATACCAGTAAGCCACTGGGATCAGATTCAATAGCCCGTGAATTCTAACTTCTTTCCAATTCGTGATTTCAGCGCGATTGTTCAATGGTTCTCTAATTGATATTAATCCGTGGTCATACTCGTAAGTAAAAACCTAATCTTTACAAACCAACTCTTGAAAATTAATCTGATGCTCGCTAGTTAATTGCTACAGGACGGAGTTTCCTGGAGTTCTAGTGAGAAGTCGTGGCCAGTGAGGTACATCCAGTCAAGTTTGAGGACGGATGCCCCACCGATGACAGTGGTTGGTGATCGCACTAAATCACGAATTGGTAGGAGTTAGAATTCATGGGCTGACCGTTGAGTAGGGTCCCAGTGGCTGAATGGTATACGAGCTAGCTTGCCTTGTAACTGAAAGGTCCTGGGTTCGGACCCTGTTGGTGGGTACGTACTGATGATGATTCCCAAACTAATTGGATGAAACAGCTGTCTGTTAGTATTCTCTAACTGATATCAATCCGTGGTCACACGTAAAAAAAGCGAATCTAATTCTTACAAACCAACTCTTGGAAATTATTCAGATTCATGAAGAGGAATAAGTGTACAATTTCAAGAATGGTTGTTAGTTGAAGGTACTCATCATTGTACTCAGTGCATCAGTAGTGCTGTACGTGGTTGAGGGTTCGATTCTCTTATGCAGTCCTAAACTTTACTTAACTGGTACTATATCCCGTAAAGAGGGGAGGTTGAGCATGAAGTTAGCAAACCTACCAACCTCAGAGAAAACAACACCTCTACTAAAATTTTAAAACTCAATCTTTTAGCTCTATGCATTCCAATCAGAAAGCTAAAAGAAAGAGGAGAAAATTGTTCTACTCAAGAAGGTTTAATATATTTTTTATGGTGGACTTATAAAAAATAATTAGATGTCGTAATGCTTACACAAGCGGCATCTACTTTTTCCTGTTGCATGTTGCATACACTGAGCTGTTTTTATCCTGACAATTTTTGCAGAACAGTAATGACTGAGAGTAAGCGATATTTGAATCACAAATCAGAATATGTTGGTTTTAGAGGTAGAGTATTGACTGACTGCCTGCCTGATTTCAACATAAAACTCACAGAAGTACGAAAGCTCCAGTTGCCACACTGGCTACATGTCCCACACAAACCAACAGAAAAAAGTAAGGAGAGGTTCAAGAGAGAGATAAAGAGAAATATGAGTGAGTGAGTGGAAAAGGAATAGTAAGTATTATGGAAGAACAATAGAGTTTCATTGGATATGACAAATCACAAAAAGTGAATGAATCAATGCATCTGCCCTATCCATTGACAACGAGGACTTTAGGCCAGCCAAATCACTAATTGTCTCCAACCTTCATTGGTTCTTACTGTTACGAGTATTGCAACCATTCAAACAGTCAGTTTACACCTCCCTACATGACTGACTAGCTGACTGACTGACTGACACTAACTGTTGTGGATTTGATTGACTGATGAAGTCATGTTTTGGTTTGACGACCACGTGCTAGCTGTTTTCCAGGGCGATCAATCCTATGTCGAGGAAGGCGGTGGTGAGGGATGCATGCGTAACGCATATCCTAACCATGTCAATCGATGTAACTTCACAACCTCATCGATGGATTTTTCCTCCTTACCTAACGCTCGACGCGAAAACTCAATGCATTGCTCAACCTACTTTACCACCTAAAAGTAACGAATAAGCAACATAAATCATTGATATAAATTGTTCATATGGTTTTCCAGCATATGTTGTACACTTCAATCCAGCGATACACCCTGAAGCGTGATCATGTTTAGAATAGTGTACATAATATCATATATAGGACATGTTGACCATTTCACCTATTTGGGAAGTTGTATCAACACCAACGGACTGATTGGCGACGAAATCTCAGCACGGATCCAAAAAGCTCGAGCTGCTTTCGCTGACTTACACCATCTCTGGCGTAGGCGTGACATCCGGTTATCAACCAAGGGACGTGTGTACTGCTCATCAGTTCGCTCTGTCCTTCTCTATGGCTCTGAAACATGGCCAATACGAGTTGAAGACATGAAAAGGTTGACTGGTTTCGATCATAGATGTCTGCGATCTCTGTCTCACGTTAGGTGGTTTAATAAGGTAAGTAATGTTGACGTTAGGCGTAGAGTGTACAGCAGGCAAAGAGGGAAAATCAGTCGACGAGGTTATAAAGTTACATAGATTGAGATGGCTAGGTCAGGTGGTGCGCATGCCTAACCATCGGCTTTCCCGACGACAGGCATTACTAGCTGATATACGTGCAGGTTGGAAAAGAGTAAGTGGTGGCCAAACAAAAACATGGCCTCATCAATCCATGAATTCCTTGACAGTTAAACTGAGTCAGTCAGGTAGGGAGATGCAGACTTCCGGGTTGGGGCCCTCGGGACTCTAGGAATCAATGGCTGGAGACAATAGGTGGCATGGCTCAAAATCGTTGTCAATGGCAGGCGCAGATGTATTCAGTCTCTGTAATCTTTCATATTCCTTTCTACCATTACCCATTCTGTTTCGCTCTTATACTTGTCAGACTGTATTGATTCTCTTCACTCATCTTGTTGTCTACCTTTGTGTGGTATTTGTAACGTGGCAACTCGAACTGGTGCACTTCGGTGCCAAGTTCTATGTTGAATCCAGACAGGCAGACATAATATCATTCGATGAAGTGATCTATTATTATCAACTGCCTGAAGAAATATAACTTCCTATTTGGGGCCCACGTCGGTAATACTCAACCCGTTGATTAAATATGTGTATTATACTAAGCTGCAAGTCGTAAGTGTTGATGCTTCTGTACAGTGTAAACGTTTGAAGTATGTGAAGTGGGATCTAATAATCAAGGAATTGGAAGTCGGACGTCCATGTGACTAATTCACAGGCTTACTACAGAAATCGTCGCTTTGCTGTTTCCCAGTTATTTTGAGTCTATAGTCCCCACTCTTAATCTGTAATGCCAACTATTAGGCCTGTCCGCTTCACTATAAATTTAACTTAAATAGCGAAGAGCAGTGAAGTATGAATGTTTATTTTCACTTGTTGTTTTCTGTTTTGCTTTATTTATTTATTTTTATTTCTATAGGGTGTCCGTGATCTCTTCACTCGTGTCACTTCTATGGGTGGAATCAGTTTATCAGATTATGTAAATGAGAAATCAGCTGACAGTGGTGCTACTCCATTAATTGAAGCTGCTAAGACAGGCTCCAATGATATTGTTCGTGTAAGTCTTATTCATATTATTTATTATTTTATTCATTTACGTTCCCAGTGCTGGAACATAGGGTGGCTTCAAGCTTGAGGTTTGAAGTTTCAGTAGCAGTGGGGTTTATTTTCTTTACGGGATAGGGTTGCTAACTTCATACCCAAGCTTTCCTCTTTACCTACCTTACTACAGATGAGGTGTAGCAGTGCGTCAGTGCCCGGAGATCGAACCCCAGACCACGCGAAGTGTGGGGTTGGCGAGCACTCTACGGCTGTACCTTGCGACTCACTTCGTGTAAATCTGTAACATGATAATTAGAAATGGTATATTCACTTAATATCCCCTATAGTAGCAGATATATTTATGGACAGCTGGGAAAGTAGTGCTCTTAATACGTTTAACCCCACTCCAAAAATATGGTGGAGATATGTGGATGACTGACAAGTTCAAAGTTTTAAAAACAGAACATATCTCTCTCTAGCTTTTTCACACACATAAATTCACTAGTGAAGGGAATAAAATTCACATTTGAATAGGAAAATGAACAAAAAGAATCAGCTGTAGTGTTAGATTGCAAAATAAAACGATTAGAAGAAGGTAAACTACAGGCTAGTGTTTGTAAAAAAACCAACTCATTCTAATAGGCATTTAGACAATAATTCATCTCATCCGTCGTTGTCTGTAAAGGTTGGCTTACTTAAGCGTCCAAAAAACCGAGCAGTATCACTAAGTAGTACAGAAAAAGACCTAAATGAGGAAATGAAACAGACAGAAGAGGCGTGCGTATCAAATAACTGTCGTATAAAACCTGGGAATAATCTCGTTGACTTGGAATATGCAGACGATATAGTCCTTCTAGGCGAGGACGCTGACAAAATGCAGAGTCTTCTAAACACCTTGAACAGCAATCTACGAATGTTTGGCATGCGATTCGCTCCCGCCAAATGCAAGATGATGTTACAGGACTGGACTACATCGACACCTAGTTTAAAAATAGGAAGTGAAGTGGTAGAGCACGTTGACCGCTTCACTTATTTGGGAAATACCATCAGCCAGTGCCAACGGGCTGATCTCTGACGAAATCTCAGCACGAATACAAGGGGCTCGTTTCGCATTTGTAAGTTTCGACTATCAACCAAAGGGCGTGTGTACTGCTCATCAGTCCGCTCCGTCCTCCTGTATGGATGTGAGACCTGGCCACTGAGAGTGGAAGACATGAAAAGACTAGCTGCCTTTGATCATAGGTGCCTGCGTTCTATTTCCCGTGTAAAGTGGCATAATAAGGTGAGCAACATGGAGGTTAGGCGTAGAGTTCTAGGTAAACAGGGGAAATCAATCGACGAAGTCGTGAAGCTACAAATACTGAGATGGTTAGGACATGTGTTACGTATGCCAAGTCATCGCCTCCCTCGACGAGCAATGTTAGCGGATATAGGGTCAGGCTGGAAAAAAGCTAGCGGCGGTCAAACAAAAACTTGGCATCAGTCAATGAAATCCACAACAGTTGGTCTTAGCTACGTAGGAAGGTGTAGACTTCCAGGCTGGGGTCCTCGGGACGGTAAAAATCTATGGTTGGAAACAATTGGTGACATGGCTCAAAATCGTTCTCAGTGGCGCAGATGCATCCACTCCCTGTGACTTATGATTTTCAATGAAACTGTTTTGTTCTTCGTTATTACTCCTCCTTTGTCTCACACCTCTGCTCACTGTCTCTATTATGCTTTTCTTGTACTTTGTTCTCTTGCTTCGCGTGCTACACGGAATGTGGCGACTTGAACTTCCGCACATTTGTGCAAAGTTCTATGTCGAAAACAGACAGACAGAGACGTATAAAACTCATTAGGAAGATCGACAAAGGCCAAAAGGAAAATAAAAATAATTGTGAAACTAGCAGTAGTAACATAAATAAGAGAGAATATAATTCATCTACTGTTATACCATATAAGGAGGGGACGTCTGAGACCCTACGTAGGATTCTTTATAAAGCAGGCAGGAATTAGGTTGGCATTCAAACTTACAAACTCACTCAGTTAGGGAAAGCTCTGTAGGCCGAAAGACCCGGTGGACCCAATTAAACAAAATAATATAATTTACAGAATATCTTGCAATGACTGTGAGTTAAGTCACTTACATAGGTCCAACTAGTAGGTTAGGGGTAGTCAGATTGTCGGAACATAAGAATTAGGCTAAGGTAGGAATGGTTGACCCTGAAAAGATAAGTGATTTAGAAAAATTCTCAGCAATCGCACTGCATGCATTAATACACAACCACACAATAGGGTGGGTGGGAGAGGGTTAAAATTCTAAGAAGTTAATATAGTTAGGTGGAGATTGAGAGATTGATTACTGAATCCTGCCTGGTTCACCGAGTCTACACGCAACACAACACATGCGATAGGAATGACTCATCATTCATACTGGAAATATAGAAAATGCAACTACTAATCAAATCAAACGATGGAAAATAATGGAATTATATAAACGAAGTCAGAAAGTTGTGTGAGTACTACCTTGATATGACTATGAGTAGCAATGAGAAATTGTGCTGAAAAGGTGGTCATCAGTGAACATTACTGTATAACACTGTAAGACGTTATCAAAATAAAATTTTACCCATAATGGAATTATACTCTACCACCACAGTGCACAAGTTTGTTTCTTATATCAATATTCATTGAATAATTTTCAAATCTTTGTACTTCAGCTTTCTTCAATTTGATTTGATTGAGTATAAACCAACTCTAGTTGGTATTAAACAAATCACTGTAGTATGGTATAAATTATTGATGTTTGTAATTTTGTTGAACATTGTATCTATTTTTTTGGTCACTATGGAATAAACAATATTGTGTGTTCAACGCTGGCTGAATTATATCAGCCAAGGTTTCCCACCCCCATGAAATCCCGTTCCTGGGACTTTTTGCCGATTCTCCTCAACTGTCTAACATCACTTCAAAGCGTACTACGATGGCTGGATACACGTAGCCTGGTGAATAGAAGTGAGTCAGCAACGATCGACAACTGCTACCTTGCTGTGGTGGTCGGGCTTGAATACCGCATTGACCCAACAAGCTAAACTGGCTGGAACTCATGTCCCTGCAGGTCCTGTCATGTCAGGTGTAGACTTCCAGACTGGGGTTCTCGGGACGGTAAAAATCTATGGTTGGAAACAATTGGTGGCATGGCTCAAAACCGTTCTCAGTGGCGCAGATGCATCCACTCCCTGTGACTTATGATCTTCAATGAAACTGTTTTGTATTTCTTTATTACTCCTTTGTCTCACACCTCTGCTCACTGTTTCTATTATGCTTTTCTTGTACTTTCTTCTCTTGCTTCGCGTGCTACATAGAGGGAGTGTGGCGACTTGAACTTCCGCACGTTTGTGCAAAGTTCTATGTCAAAAACAGACAGACAGACTGCCATGTCAGGAAGGTTGTTTGGATAGCGGTTAGACTGAAAGCAGTTACCATGGGCTACATGGGCTCCAGAATCCAATCGGATCAAATGATGTATGAACTCATTCGATAGCTTCTTCTTTCTTTACTTCGGCTATCTCCTACGGGAGGATGAGCCGGCTTCATGAACCATGAAGTTTCATGGGCCACGAGTGATCTCCTGTTCGGCTGTAACGAATACACTGATTATTCATTCAATAAGGTATATAACCAACATCATGCGTTCAGTCCACCATGTTAGTGCTGACTATTTATTTTTATTTATTTAAACGCAGAAAAAACTTGGTGCGATATCGCACTAAGAAAGATGCGCCACACAATAATAATAAAACAACATAGATCAAAAGAAAAAAAAGAACTTATATAAGTAGAGAACGGATAAAGAACTTCATCTAGAAGGAAAACAGTCATGCTTAACAAGTTCAAACAGTATTCGTTAACTATCATCGCGAAGGGAAGAGAGAAGGAAATTACAACACGTTCGCCATTGATAACTGCGATTCTTGGCCATATCCGATAACGTTTCGAGCCATTGATTCGAGCTATCTCGCGGACCCCAACCAGAGAGTCGTGACGCACCAACCGATGTTAATCTAGCACAAAAATCCTTCATCCCACGACGCCACGTCATGGACTGACCACCTCTCCGCCTTTTCCATCGCATCCCAGGGCTGGCTAGCGAACAGAGACCTGTACGGAAGCCTCTGGGATGACATTCTCAGCACATGTCCAAGCCACCGAAGCCAGTGTTTCCGGATGACCGAACCTCAGAATTACTTACACGATGACCCCATCGAACGCAAGCAGTCTTGCGGAGACAGCGATGATCGAACACGCAGAGTCGCCGCACGATAGTAGTGATAGTGATAATAATAGTAATATCAATGATCACATGCATGTCAAACATGCGCAAGATAATAACAACAACAATAAGGAATCTAAATCATCAGTAGTAATTCCATACAAGGAAGGAACCTTGGAAACCACCTTACGCAGAATTCTTAACAAGGCAGTGATAAAAGTGGCCGGCATTCGAACCAACCACAAACTCAATTAGAAACAGGCTTTGTCGATTGAAGGATAAATCCTGCGGAGCCATTGAAACAAAACAATTTAGTTTATCTAATACCCTGTCTGCAATGTTTGTCAGGTGAAATACCTAGGTCAAAGTAGTAGAACAGGTGCAGTCGGACTAGCCGAGCATAGAAACGTAGCGGCGAAATCTACATTAGTTGACGCGAATAAGATAAGAAATCTAGAGAATAGTTCAGCCGTAGATAGCACTCACTATATGCAATTACACACAACCATACAATAGGCTGAGGTGGGATAAGATGACAGTACTTTTAAAATCTAATCGAATGTCACAGGGAGAGATTGATGACAGCGGAAGCTTTGTTTATCGAATCAACCGAGAGAGGACACGTGCAATAGGAATGATTCAACACTTGTCCAGGCGGATATCTGGAAAATTCTACTACCCCAACGACGACACATAGGAGAGAAGAAAGAAAACTATAAAACGGAAGTTTCGAAGTTGTGTGATTATAATTGATGATATGAGGTTATGAATCACAATAAATTTAATTCGAAACCTTGTCATCCAGTAAATAATACTGTTTCACTGACTGTGTGATACATCTAATAAGCAAACAATTATGGAATTAGTTACTACCAGAGCGTCAAAGTTTTACACATATTTTGATAAGACAGTTATGTCACTTTCTCTGTATTGTTTCTACTATAAACGTTTTTTTAAAATTTCATTCAAGACATGTACATCCTTTCACTTTTGTGAGGAACAGCCCCACCTCATGAAAATAGGGAGTAAGATTTACCTAAAAACTATGACAGGGAGGGAATTATCGAATTTATTTGGTGAATACAGACTCTTAGAATGTTCATGTTAAGCAGCACACAAGAAGGCGCAAAATGGCGTCAAAGTCTGATCGGATGCTTACATGTGAAAACACGTGAGGCATACGATGGTTAGGCCAAATTTTATGGAGTTAATTCGATTTAATTAACTTAATTTTATTTGGGCGCCAGGAAGGCGCAGGTATACTATTAACTCGCCAGTTAGACGTTTAAATAGGAAGTCATGTGATATTTTTTCGATATTGTGTTCCCACTATAACAGTTTGGAAAATATGCTTATTCAGTTATCCTGTTCGACATAACATGTTTAATAATATACCTTCTCTATCTGATTATTTTCAAATCTAATTAGCTTTTACTTGAACACAATGCATCGGTAAATCTAAGAGATTGTGGTGGATTTACAGCACTACATCGTGCATGCCAAAAAAGTTTTGCTCATGTCGCTGAAACTCTCTTGCGTGTCGGTCGAGCTAATCCACAAATCAAATGTCCATTTTCGGGGAATACAGCATTGCATGAAGCAGCAATGTTGGGTCATGCCGACTGTGTCAATTGTCTCCTACGTTATCATGCTGCTCCGTGGGCAAGAAATGCTGAAGCGGAAATGCCTTTCGAATTAGCCCTACGCTATGGATTTGCTGATTTAGCTGCTGCACTAGCTGGTTATAAACCTGCTCCAGCGATTACAACTCAGGTAAGTGTGTGTGTGGGGGGTATTTCTGCCTGCCTTTTTTACCAAGACTTCTTGTGTGTTTGTCTGTTTCACCACAGCTTAGCTTAATTTAGACTTTAATTCATCTCATCCATTAACTGTTAAGGCAGGCTTAGTTAAGTGTTGAACAAACCGAGCAGTATCACTAGGTAGTACAAAAAAAAGACCTAAATGATAGAGGCGTTGGTGTTAAATAACTAACTATCCTATAGAAATTCATTAGGAATATCAAAAAAAGATTTAAAGCAAAATAAAAATAATTGTGAAACTAGTAGTGGTAACATAAATAAGAGGGAATATAAGTCATCTACAGTTAAAGAGAGGACATCTGAAATCCTACCTAGTAGGATTCTTGGCAAAGTTAAACTTTAGACACCACTAACAACCAATCAGCAAACGACCTTGAACGAACCAATTACATTAAAGAGGCATATATGATAAATGGAAATGTATATTTATAGAAAAAAAGCACAAAATAGAGAATAAAATAGTTACATGGGATATCTTTCTCGAACATGTGAGAGAAACATCTCCCAGTTTAGCATGGGACTGTCAATGCTTTTCCATCTGCTATCCTTTCAACGAATCCCTTTCGGAGGGAGGTGTCATACAAACCTGTTACCCAAATATTGTTCGCCCGCTGGCGACCACGGTTGTATTTCTTTTTTTACCAGCACTGTCTCATCGACATGCACGATAACGTCTTCCCCACCCAGCAAACAATTTATTTTCTCCATTTTCCATGATGCAATGTCTCTGCAATGCTGGTACCACTGAACTGTTGAGACATGGCTATTCTCCATCTCGGCAGCTGCTGCTCTCACAGCCTGTTTCAACATCCATCAGTTTCAGATATACGAAATCTGGGTTAGGGAGAGATGCGACCTAGCGAAAGTAAGTTCCTACGAAATATTAAAATTATCAGCTTACCCTCTCCAGTGTTAGTAGGCTTCAAACATATAGCACAACAATGAACAAACCCATCAGTTGATTTGGTATAGCTTTTTAAAGTAATGATACCACCACACAAACAAATTCGCTCTTTCCGGAGCAACTCAAATCCAAGAAATACTGGAAAACACTAACCTCCTCGAATTGCAACTGTAGCCTTGCAAGGTCACGCATCAGAAATGAATCAAGCGCTATACAACATTGAACTGCGTTCGTGAATCTCACTGGATAATTCGCTGATTGGTAGTTAGTGGTGTCGAAAGTTTAACTTCGCCGGATTCTTAATAAAGCAGGAATTAGAGTGGCATTTAAACCTACAAACTCACTCAGACAATGAAAAGCTCTGTAGGCCGAAAGACCCGGTGGACCAAATTAAACAAAATAATATAATTTACAAAATACCCTGTAATGACTGTGAGTTAGGTCAACTAAATAGGTCAAACTAGTAGATCGGGGGTAATCAGATTGTCAGAACATAAGAATTTAGCTAAGGTTAGAATGGTTGACCTCGAGAAGATAAGTAATCTAGAAAAAAAGTTCAGCAATTGCACTGCATGCAATAACACACAACCACACAATAGGGTGGGTGGGAGAGTGTTACTTACTTACTTTACTTTACTTCGGCTATCTCCTACGGGAGGATGAACCGGCTTCATGAACGAGTTCATGAAGTTTCTTGGGAATTTGGTACGAGTGATGTCCCCAGCATCGCTCGGCCTTTTGTTTGAGAGTGCAGCTCTAGCCTTTACACAGCCAAGTGTGACCTACAAGGCAGTAGGAGTGGAGTAGGGAGCCCACTATCCATTGGCAGCCGGTGACCGGAGTTCGGTTCATACGCCTTTTTGAATGGGGCCAGACATCCAGGACATCCAACAAGCCCTTTGTCCATACGTCTGCCGGTGAGCTTCATACGCCAGTCGTTGGAGGTTTGGAATCAGGGTTTAGCCATCTCCCCTAGACCGTCATCCAATGGACAGTCAACCCGGTGAAGAGCGCCGGGCATCCGCTTTCGCCCTCTCACTTTGGTGAGAAACACCTCCGCCACGTGAAGGCAGTGAGTAGGACTTCCTCAGGAGAGGCTATGTAAGACGCCCGGACATATGGGAGCATTTCAAGAGGTGTGCGGAGGGGTGGCCAACCCGCAGCGCAAGAGTGTTAAGATTCTAAGAAGTAATCTATGTTTGTTTGTCTGTCTGTGTCTGTGGAAAGATGGAAGGTAGCATAGTTCAGTAGCTCGGCTTGTTGTGTGGTCGACTAATATGCGTGAACAAAAATCCATAAGTCATTTTCCGTAAAATCGCGCACTAGCTTTTATTTCAAATAGTATTTTTTGGTACAAATATGGAATTTTCAGCATTTTGTACAGTGTTGCATCTTTCTTTCTCATTACAGGGGTAAGAATTAGAACAGGGCATTTACATGGGTACTGTTGTTAGATAAGAATACGAATATTAAAATTAAATAGAGTGAAAATATTAACAACAATGTAACAATAAGATTTAGGGGGCCGTTTATTTAGATTTCCGTTTTAAGTTGGTAATCTCCCGCCGTACACACTTTTTCATCACATAAAATGTGTGCCTACTAAATAAGTTATGGTGAAGTTTTTATACTTCGTCGTCCGAGCATACTAGTCTTCTATAGCTGCTTCTAGTTCCCCTACCTGAGATCAGATACAATGAAATCTACAATAGTTAGTTTAAACCATGTAGGAAGATGTAGACTTTCTCAGAGGTTGGAGTCCTCGGGATGGTAAAAACCATTGATGACTGGAGAGATTTGGTGATATGGCTCGAAATCCTTGTTCTCAATGGCTTAGATGCATTGATTCATTCACTGTTTGTGATTTGTCATATTGTCCATGAAACTCTATTGTTCTTCCATATTACTACTACTCATTTTCCCCCCACTCACTCACTCACTCACTCACTCACTCACTCACTCACTCACTCACTCACTCACTCACTCACTCACTCACTCACTCACTCACTCACTCACACTTCTGTTAATTATCTGTCTTTTCCATTTCTGTCTATACTCTCTTTTGTTGGTTTTTGTGATACATGGAAGGAATGTGGCAACTGGAACTGGTGCATATCTGTGCAAAGTTCTATGTTGAAACCAGTCAGTCAGATACAAGCAGAGTTGTGTAAAGATAGGATGCTCAGAGTCTTAAAGGATTTTTTTCCCTTCACGTTCCCAGTGGAACATAGGGCCTCAAGCAAGTGGCTTGAAGTTTCTGTAGCAGTGGTGGTTATTTTTACAGGATGGGGTTGCTAGCCTCATTCTCAACATTTCCTCTTTACCTACATTATTTCTGGCTTAGAAGTGGTCGGCGAGCATCCTAACCGCTCTACCACCGATGCACAGTCTTAAAGGATAATATCCGCTAATTTCTTGCATCAGTCTATGTGTCTATCTACAATAGTATTAAGAAGTTGGTTCAGCAACACTCCACTCGCCCTACTTGATGGCTTTTAGTGCTCTTTGCAGTGTAACAAAGTCTTTCTTAAGTAGCTTGGGAAAGATTAAGGGCAACCCAGTAATGAAAGATAAGCAGAATTCAAGAATTATCAAACTTAGAAAGTAGAGACTGAATGATACCAGATTGTCTTAATTTCCTTACATAGAATGTTAAATGAAATATCTTACTGGAAACTAACATTGTGTGTGAAGACCAGGAAAGATGAGAGGAGATGCACGATGGTCCAAGGTATTTAACATTCGATTTAGTTTCAACTTCTATTACCATCTATGATAATAGAACCATACAAACTGATTGGTCGATGTAATTTTCTCTTGGCTCTGAAAGGGAAATTAACCACAGGACATGTGGAGGGATTACGATAAACAAAAGTTATTCATTTAGGAAAAGTCTGACTGAGCAGGAGTGAAGTGGTGTCCGAGCGTGTTGACCATCACTTCACTTATTTGGGGAGTTGTATCAGCCCCAGCCTCTCAATGGGTTGATCGCTGACGAAATCTCAGCATGGATACAGAAGGCTAGTTTGGCATTTGCCAGCTTACGCCATCTTTGGCGTCGACCAAAGGATGTATATACTGCCCAGTTGTTCGTCCGTGAGTCCTTTATGGTTGTGATTAAGACATGGCCATTAATAGTGAAAGAAATGAAAAGACTAAGCCATCTTTGAACATAAGTGTCTGCGTTCTACCTAAATCCTGTTTTAGATGGTGGATATAGTAGGGTGAGTAATATTGAGGATAGGTATCAATCGAGTGTGTTAGGTAGGAGGGAAAGTCAATCGAAGAGGTTGTGAAGTTACATCGATTGAAATGTCTAGCCATCGCCTTCCTCGAAAACACGCAATGCTAGCTGACATTACTGACGGATTAGGTTGGAAAAGAGCTAGCACGTGGTAGTCAAACCAAGACATGGTTTCATCAGTCAACCGAATCTGTAACAGTTAGTCTCAGTCAGCCAGCTGCCCAGTCATGTAGGGAGGTGTAAACTGACTTACTGATTGGTTGGAATCCTCCGAATGATAAGAACCAATGAAGGCTAGAGACAATTAGCTATTTGGCTGACACAAAATTCTCGTTGTCTAATGGTTGGCGGAGGTGCATTGATTCATTCACTCTTTGTAATTTGTCATATCCAATGAGACTATCTTGTCCTTCCATATTACTTCCTATTCCTTTTCACTCACTCACTCACTCACTCACTCACTCACTCACTCACTCACTCACTCACTCACTCACTCACTCACTCACTCACTCACTCACTCGCTCACACTTCTGTTTATTATCCCTCTTTTGAATTTCTCTCTCTTTCTGTTGTCTTCTGTTGGTTTGGCAACTGGAACTGCTGCACTTCTGTGCGAAGTAGTCCTATGTTGAAACCAGTCAGTCAGTCACATGTATTATATGATAGGTAGCGATACAGCCTTAGTGTCCAGTAGGTGGAGGGCCTAGCCAACCCATGACTCATTGGTTGGGAATCGAAAGTTGACACCAATAAGTCATAGATTTATTTGTTATGCAATCAATAGGTAATATAACCCATCTGTCTGTCTGTCTGCCTGTTTTCGACATAGAACTATGCACAAACGTGCGGAAGTTCAAGTCGCCACATTCCGTGTAGCACGCGAAGCAAGAGAAGAAAGTACAAGAAAAGCATAATAGAAACAGTGAGCAGAGGTGTGAGACAAAGGAGTAATAAAGAAATACAAAACAGTTTCATTGAAGATCATAAGTCACAGGGAGTGGATGCATCTGCGCCACTGAGAACGGTTTTGAGCCATGTCACCAATTGTTTCCAACCATTGATTTTTACCGTCCCGAGGACCCCAGCCTGGAAGTCTACACCTTTCTACGTGGCTTAGACCAACTGTTGTGGATTTCATTGACTGGTGAGGCCAAGTTTTTGTTTGACCGCCGCTAGCTTTTTTCCAGTCTGACCCTATATCCGCTAACATAGCTCGTCGAGGGAGGCGATGGCTTGGCATACGTAACACATGTCCTAACCATCTCAGTATTTGTAGCTTCACGACTTCGTCGATTGATTTCCCCTGTTTACCTAGAACTCTGCGCCTAACCTCCATAAGGTGAGCAACATGGAGGTTAGGCGTCGAGTTCTAGGTAAACAGGGGAAATCAATCGACGAAGTCGTGAAGCTACAAAGACTGAGATGGTTAGGACATGTGTTACGTATGCCCATAGATTAACAAAGAAACTCTATCAATAATGAAATACATTATACGTATCCACACGCAATACACCACACACGAATAAGCACTACTGATTTTCTCACAATTACAACGAGTCAATCAAACACAAGGTAGATTGTAAATAATGCTAATAGAGGGTCATATATATATATATATATATATATATATATATATATATATAAACTATCACTCGAATTACACCTATTTTATATTTGTATAATAATAATAATGATTATTCATAACAGAATAATGTTCTGACATTATTATGGGTATCAGTATTGGTAAAGGTCGATTATATATTATATTACATGGGGTGGTGTTGGTGAAGAATAGTAAGTAGTCAGCAGGTACAGCCACCCATACACACACGGAGATGAAATACACGGATAGCATCATCTGTAACACATGAATAGTGAAATGAATTAAAGTTATGTAATCACACACTTCATTTCACCTCTTCTTTCCCGTCTACTTCTGTTTACCACATGAATAAACAGTTAGACAGTCAGTTGCAGTTCACTTCTGAATTTAAAGATTAGTTAGTTCATTTGACCTAATTTCTAATTATCAATAATAATAATAATGTTGATGTTGTTGATAATATTAGTATTTTTTGATTCACTATTATTGCCATTATTATTGCTGCCTGAATCAGTGCTAGATAGCTGGTGTTAGTTAGTTAGTTAGTTGATTGGTTGGTTGGTTGGTAAATAGGCCATTGAATTCTAACGCAGGTGTGTTCAGCCTGTTCTGACTAAGAACTGTTTAACTGTTTCTACAACTAAAGATAAATGACTGACTGTCTGGCTTCAACATAGGACTGCTTTGCACAGATGTGCAGCAGTTCCAGTTGCCACACTCCTCCCTTCATGTACCAAACACACCAACAGAAGAGAGTAAGTAGAGAGAAATGCAAAAGACAGACAATAAACAGAAGTATAAAGACTAGTTATATCAAAACTAACCATTGTTTCATCAGTCTCTAGTCGACTGTCATTTAGTTTACTTTTCATCTCATATGAATTAGTTAGTTAGTTAGTCTAGGGTTTGAACAATTTCTAATGGGACAAAGTATTAGAGCTAAGTGTTTTGATAATTCATCAGTAGGGGTATTTCTAAAATCTACTATTGGTCTTATGGGGTAGCCTGACTTATGTATTTTAATAGTACCATATATTCTACTAGCATTATTAGTTTTAGGCATTAAATTAAACCATTTTGACTCACCCAGTGACGGATTCATTCTGCGTATTAGTTCTGCTGTAGATTTCTTAACCTTATTCATTATTCTATCTACAGGCTTCTTAATTTCCTCATATGGACCCGCTTGAATATGTTCAATAACTTTTTTGATATAGTCAGGTTTATTCAAAATTACGGTAGCGTTTCCTTTGTCAACTTTTGTGATGACAATATTTTTATCCTGTTTAAGACTAATTAAAGTTTCTCTTTCCGATTTTGTTAAGTTTGTTTTTGTTTTCTTTTGATTTTTCAGGGTTAGCTCACATTGTGCTCGAACCTCTTCTGCTGTCGTCTTATCTACTGAACTTAGTGCTGCTTCTATGTTAGGAATGACATCCTCTGCTTTTAATATACTCACTGTTACATTGAAATTTAGTCTTTTTTCAAGTACTTTTATCTCACTAGAGCTTAGTTCCCTTGATGAGAGATTGATCACCCACTTTGTTCTGTCGATAGAGGATGAAGTGTTGACATCAATTTCATTTGTTGTGTTCTTTTCTTCAATTAGTTTGTTGAATTTTTTGATTTGTGTGGTTTTTGATTTTCTTAAGGCTGATTTTTAGCTTTTTTGGATGTTTCAACAACGATTGCATAATCTTTGTCATTGAACATACATTCGAGTTTGTGTTTGAGTTTTTCTATTTCATTTCGTATATTATTTAGTTTCACAGTAATTCGATGTAGTTCTTCTCTTAGACATAATCTACTGAGATGTTCAGCTGCTGATGATATTTTCCTTGAAGTAATTGGAGTGCGTATGGGTAAATACTTTGGAATTATATGATTTTTTAAACATCGGCTATTAAAAATCCGATGGTTTGTGAATCTTGCTTCAGTTTGAGAAAGTAATGTGGAATAATAATAGAGTCTCATTGGCTATAAAAAATCACAAAGAGTGAATGAATCAATACATCTTCGTCATCCATCGGACAAGAAAGTTTTTGAGTCATCCATATGACTAATTGTCTCCAGCCTTCATTGGTTCTTACCATCTGGAGGACTTAACCACTCAGACAGTCAGTTTACATCTCCCTACGTGACCGGCTACCTTAAACTAATTGTTATACATTCGATTGCCTGATGAAGTCATTTTTTGTTTGAACACCATGTGCTAGCTCTTTTCCAACCTGATCAATCTTATGTCAGCTAACGTATCTCGTCGATGAAGGTGATGGCTAGGCATCTCAATCGTGTAACTTCACAATCTTACCGTTTCTTCAATGCTATATTTTGCGCATCATTTGCAAATTGGTCGAGTATCACCAATTCGATAAGTTTTTGGATTCTACACAGTGTTTCTAACGTTCTTCTCACAGTTCTATTCTTCGATTGTTTTATTTTCCAGTGTTCAAAACATATTGTTACTTTTCTACATTCGTTTACTGATATACTACTTATATCTGATTATAAGTAGCACTCACCATACTACTGCTGTTATTACCTAAGGATGAGATCATAACTTATTGATCTTAGCTACTTTGGTTTATCAACTGGTAATGTCATAGATTAAGATGCAACTCAGTCCATCCATGGTGTCTTTTTGGGGGAGGGGTGGTAAAGGGTTGAGTCGTAGTTAACCTATAAACATTAGCTAGGCACGGTGCAATTGAGTTTCTGTGTATTAATTATTGTGCATATTAATGTCTTGTCGTCAAGTTTATAACGATATACTTCTTACCAAAGGTCGATATAAGCTTGAGAAAGTTTTGAGAGGGGCGTCGGACTAAGTTTTTTTTAAAATCATAATAACAACGAAAAACAGTGATTGCTCAGTTTTAGAGAAATGCATTTCTTAAATTCAAAAAGGGAATAAATTATTCTGAAATCAAAAACAATCCCTACAAAATCAATACTTGAAAACTAATCTGATGCTTACTAGTGACTAGTACTATTCAGGCAGTTAACCTGGGTTCTAGTGGGAAGCCGTGACCAGCAGGGTGCAGCAAGTTGCAAGTGAAGCAGTAACTCATCGAAGAAGACGTGGCGAAGTGGTCGCGCTATGTCATGGATTCGCAGAAGTTAGAATTCATTGACCGGCCATTAAATCGGGTCCCAGTGGCTGAATAAGTGGTATACGAGCTAGCTTTCCTTGTAACCGGAAGGTCCTGGGTTCGAAACCCTATGGGGTGGGTGCGTAATGCCGATGATTCCCAAGCTAGTTGGATGAAACAGCTGTCCGGCAGTACTCCACGCTGGTTCTCAATGGTTCTCTAACTGATATCAATCCGTGATCAACTCGTCAAAACCAATCTTTATAATTTTTAAAAAATGTTTTTCGTTAAAATTAGATGCAATATTGTACCAAGTGCTGAAAATTCCACACTGTAACATAAGTACCGTTCTAAAATAAGGCAAATTATTATTATTATTGTTATTAGCTACATAGGGACAATGTGGTCGCAGGTTATATGAATGAATGAATGTGTAACTTTAAGGTCTTTACAAAAAACTGCTGATAAAGCCTCCAGTGTCCCTTTATGAAATGTAGCTTTATTGCCTTAGGAAAACACGTGTGTGAGTAGTTCTCAAATTGTATGATTATTGATATTCTTATTTTGTCTCTATTCCTCTTTTCTTTTTAACAGAGTGATTGGTTTCATCCTTCTCTGTCGAAATCTGAAACAGATAAAATATTTTCAAATTGTTTAGCAACAAAAGATGGTGCATTTTTAATACGACGATCATCACAGTCAGAGAGGAAATTTGTCCTTGTCCTATACTATCAACATCAAACATTAAAATATCAAATTGAAGTAGTCGATTTCTCATTTCATATGGATACAAAAGAAGCATATTTTATTGATAAGGTAAATTGTCTTTTCTTGTGTGTGTGTATGTTTGGTGTTAAATGGATTCGATGAGGTTTTATGTTAGACACCTATTTCGTTCTAGTTTAATACCACACGTCCTCCTCCAGGGACTGAATCCAAGAAATTCAGGTTACCAGGCGTGCCTATTCTAAGTTATTGAAACTGCTCAGTTTCCAGCGCTGGCATAGAATCTTTTCTGACGTATTTGTGGTCAACTTGAAGATGTTTTGTTTGATGATTGGTTGTCTAGCAGTGTGGAATCCATAAATCATAACTAATACCCGATACAGAAAAGGTGACTTTCGTAATCCATTCGCTTTTGAAAGGGTTTAATTTTAGGGCTCGAGTCTTAGTTGAAAAACCATCAATCATAAGAATCCAAATACATTCATGTAAAATGAATCACAAATAGGAAAAAATATGTGTCCTAGGTTCTACTGCTGGCCACCAATAATCCTCAATAATGTGTCTAGTAAAAAGAATTGTCTGTTCCTCTTGTAAACAGCTGTGTACACAATCGACTACATTAAAATAAAGAGGAAGTACATGTGCGCGGAAAGAGAGGTAAGCCTAGAAATTCCAGCAGTAATGGAATTGAACGTAGTCAGTAGTAGATAGTAGATAACGTAATGTGTAATTATTGGTTTCAGCGGTATTATAAAATCCAATCGGAGAGCTTGTTGAAGAGGTGACCAATGCAGTAATTTTTCACTCAGAGTTGGTGGATTGAGTTTTCGATGTAGAACTGTGCAAATGAACACAGCACCATATTCTCCGTGCAGCAGAAATACGCGCGAGAAAGAATAGTAACATGCTAAAACACGAGAGAGTCGAACAAATCTTCCAGATTACAAAGAGTGAAAACATCTATCCCATTTGAAAACTCTTCTGAAGTATATCACCAAGAGTTCCTAGTCATTGGTTTTTATCGTTTCGAGAAACGCCATAATATGGCAGTCTACACCTCCCTAGGTGCCTCAAAGCAACAACCAAAGGTTTTGATTCGACCACCTTGAAGTTGTTTTCTTACCTAATCACATATCAGCTGACATTACCGTGCGAGGAAGGCGATGGCTAGGCGTGTGTAGCACATTTTTTAACCATCTCAATCGATTTAGCTTCACAACCTGATCAATTCCTTTCTCACCCCTACCTAACGTTTAATGCAGAGGCTGATTTGCAGGGATTTGATTTGATCGATTACGGGATTTCACATCATGAGTTGACATTGGTTAGAGAACTATTAGAAAACCTGGGTGTACGGGACACTGACATTCTTCATCAGTACGCACCCGGTGCCAGGGTTCGAACCCAGTACCTTTCGGTTACAAGGCGAGCTCATAGACCGTTCAGACACATAGATCAGATGCAATGATCAGTGCATAAATTACAACTTCTGTCAATTCATCTGTGTTTCGCATATGCCAGTTTACGCCGTCACTGGCTTAGTAGACGTGGTATCTGGCTGGCTGTCGACCAAAGAGCGTGTGTACTGTTAAGCAGTCCGCTCCATCCTCCTGTATGGCTGTGAGACATGGTCATTGAGAGTGGAAGACATTAAAAGCCTGGTTAGCTGTCTTTCATCACAGGTGCCTGCGTTCTATCTCCCGTGTGAAGTGGTATAGTAGGGTAAGCAATACTGAGGATAGGCATCGAGTGCTACAACAAGGCTGTGAAACTACATAGACTGAGATGGTTAGGACATGTGCTACGTATGCTTAGTCATCGCCTCCCTCGACGGGCAATGTTAGCTGACATAGGGTCAGACTGGAAAGTCAAACCAAAACATGACCTCATCAGTCAATCTAATCCACAACAGTTAGTTTAAGCTAGACACGAAGGAAGGTGTAAGCGCAATATCGCTTGAAATTAAGTCACGCGTAGATAAAGGCTATCCCGGTCCAGATCAAACAAGAAACCGGTCACTGTTTCTACGGTACTATTAATAAACAAATCAATAATTATATTTACAACAAACCTTAACGGTTTCAAGAATACAAAGCACAACGCTTAACAGAAAGCAAGGTACCGCTATCAGAGCGGAATAACGTTAAAGCCCAAATTGCGAACTAGCCGGAACCAGACACGACCGTTCAGGTAAGCAGTCAGTAGAAGAATGAGCCGAAGTAAGGCATGGCATAAAACAGAGAGCGATTAAGAGAGATAGACCGAGCATAGACACAAAGATAGAATTTAATTGGCTACTTAACCAGGTAGGAGAATACAGATGAAGATCAATAAATAAGATAAACTCAACAGAATAGTACAAAGTAAGACATGGGTCAGCAAAAATAACAGTTCACGAAATACTCTGATTGGGTCATGAGTTCAACTGTCTGACTAAACGGATCGAGGTAAAAACACATACACACAGTTCATTAAACAAGGGAGGATAGACACGTTAGGCATGGATAATTGGGTTGCAACAACGCTAGGCTGATCCGGGACAGGTTGACTTGATTCAAGGATGGGAATTTGATTGATCTTACAGAAGGTGTTGACTTCCTGATTGGTTGTAGTCCTCGGTATGACTCAACTTCGTTCTCAATGACTGGCGCAGATGCATCCACTCCTTGTGACTTATAATGTCCAATAAAACTATATGGTTCTTCGATATTACTATTCCTTTTGTCTCATATCCTTGTCGATAGTCTCTATTTTGCATTTCTTTTTACTTTCTTCTCTTGCTTTGTGTGCTACATGGAGAGTGGTGACTTGAACCACTGCACATCGGTGCGAAGTTCTATATTGAAAACAGACAGATAGACAATTCATCGATGGGGAGTATTTGTCCTCACATTCGACCTGCTGTATGTTAAAGGATTTCATCATGAGCTAACATGATTGTCTAGCCCATAATCTGCTCATGATGAAATCCTGTAGCTTTACGTCTAAGTTCAATACTGCTCACCCATATTATTATACCACATAACACTCCGAGTAAATGTGTCACAGCCATGTCGGTCATTAAAGATTCCTTGATTAGTGTGAAGTGAATCAAACCTAATTTGTTGTAACTGTGATTTATTTATGCGGGCTCTTAACTGCGATCTCTCGTGAGTTCGACCACTGTTCCAACTATTGAAGCTTAGACTCAATAGGCATATGTGCATGTATGTATTAATTTGTATTGTCCTGAGTCTGATTCCCCTTTTTATAACTTTTTATTTTACTCGACAAATTTTCATTAATTGATTTTTCTTTTATTTAGGGTCCACTTCATTTATCCTTGGAACATTTAGTTGAGCATTACAGTCGTTTTGCAGATGGTATCCCTGTACGCCTACACTATGCTATATCACCATCTGGTCGAGTTACTAATATAGAACAATTAACACCACAAAATTTAGACAGTAATAATGGTCGAGAATTACGCAAAGTTGAATCATCCGCTTCTAGTGGTGGTGGTGATGCATGGGCACTGAGAACAATTTCATCCAGTATACACGGTGGTCGTATGGGTGCACCGTTGTCTATGTCAATAGCTAAAGGAAATTCACGTCATGGACAGAATAAATCGAATCAGGTATGCGCTTTACACTCGATTTTTTAAATGACATTTTAAATACTTCTCAAGAGTTAGTTTATAGAGATTTGATTGGTTTCAAGTTTGATCGAGGATTGATATAAGTCAGAGAACCAAAGAGTTCTGAATAGCTGATTTGTCCCAATTTGGGACTCTTCATCAGTACATATCCATAGTCCGACCAAGGATTGAACTTGAGAGCTTCAGGTTACGAGGCCAAAGTCGCTGACCATTTAACCATTTCGACCGGAATTCAGTGGCACGTGGATTCTAACTTCTGTTAATTCTCGATTTTATTGCGGCCACTAGCTAATATTATCGGCGAGTATTTTTCGTCAAACCCGACCTTGTGGAACCCACTAATCACATCTTCTTATTAGAATTCCAGACAAATTCGTCCTGTAGCCAGTCACTAGTGGGCATCACATTAATTTCTAAGAGTTATTTTGTCTGAAATCACTCAACCTCTACTTTTACATTTTGTTAACTCTTGCATTTTACTTATTGTACTTTACTGCTCCACCTTAGTTTTTACGAGTTTGACCATGGATAGATATCAGTTAGAGCAGCATTGAAAACCCCTGGAGTACTAGCAGACGGCTATTTCTTCTTAGTTTGGTAATCATCGGTAGTACGCACCCACTGCCAGGGTTCGAACCCAAGACTTTCCGGTTGCAAGGCTAGCTAGCTAACTAGCTCGTAAACCATTCACCTACTGGGACCCGATTCACTGGCCAGCCCGTTAATTCTAATTTCTACCAATTCATGATGCATTTAGCACGACTGGTACCAGCCAATGTCATCGGTGGGAACTCCATCCTTACACTTAACTGGATAGACCTCATTCTGGTCACGACTTCTTACCAGAACTCCAGGAAACTCTGTCCTGTAGCAAGTCACTAGTGGGCATCAGCTTAATTTTCAAGAGTTGGTTTGCAAGGATATTAAATTTGTTTTTACATTAGTCTTTCCTGGGCTACTCAAAAAAATACTAAATCATATTGCAAAAGATATTAAAGGTTGTCAGTAGAGTAAGTTGTGTGCCACTTAGTCAGCTCGTTTGTTACTGTTTGTTTGTAGTCGACAGACATCTGAACTCATATGAGAAATGATCTAAATCCATTTTGTCTGATTGTCAACACCCCCGCCATTCTCAAATTTCCTGTCCTTTGATCTCTTCATCATATGAGACTAGAAGTCATTATGAAAAATTATTTCCTGACTTGTGCGTCGGTGGTGGTATAGCGGTTAGGACGCTCGCTGACCACCATGCACATGGTTCGGGGTTCGATCCCCGGCCACTGACGCACTCCTTTACCTTGCTGAACCAGAAACAATGCTGGTAAAGAGGAAAGGTTGGGCATGAGGCTAGCAACCCCATCCTGTGGTAAATAATCACTGCTACAGAAACTTCAAGCCACTAGCTTGAAGGTGCCCTATGTTCCACTGGGGAATGTGAAGGAAAAAAAAGTATCCTCACTTGTACAACCAAGTTCAAAACCCAACGTTACCCCGTTTTGCCCGATAGAGATAGTGTTAAGCGTGAGACTTGTAACTTATTACGCAATCGCCGAAATAAATGGCTCTTTTATCTTCTCTTATTTATAATTAACGGTGGCACTATTTCAGTTATCTTGCGTCGGTGACACAGCGGTAGAATGCTCTCCAACCACGCCTCATTTAGTTCGGGGTTCGATCCCCGGCCGATGCACTCCTTTACGTCTTTAAGCCAGTAGTAAGACTGGTAAAAAGGGAAGGTTGGGCATGAGGCTAGCAATCCTATCCCGTAAAGAAAATAAACATCACCGCTACTGAAACTTCATGCCTCTAGCTTGAACTAGCTCTATGTTCCACTGAGAAGGTGAAGAAATAAGAACAAGAAGAACAATTTCAGTTATTATGTAATTTTAATTATCAACTTTATTATTATTATTATTATCACTTTAGACTTTTTGTGTATTTTTGACTTGATTGTCACCGCTGCTAGTACCAAAAAGCTGCTATTGTCAATCCTGTTTACGAACACCCTGGTTTTGTTTCTTCTCTTGTCAAGCAAATTACATGCAATACTGTACCAAAATGCGAAGAATTCCACAATGTATCATAAAGACTACTGTTTTGTATGATGCAAATTATTATTATTCCTATTGTTGAAAGTATCTGATGGTATTTTGATTTCCACTTTCTTTGTTTTTACAATTTCCTTTCAGGGAAAACATCATAGTTCTTCAAGTTCAGGCATCTCTGGTGTGTCTAGTGGCGGTGGTCTCCTTCCAGTTGCTGCCGGTTTACAATTAACTGCTTCTGGTACTTCATGTGTTGGATCAACTAGTGGATCAGGTGAACTTCGACTAATCCCCAGTGATGCAGTTATCCTGTTGTATAGACTTGGTGAAGGCGAGTTCGGTGAAGTGTATCGTGGTAGATTGCATTTGGATAGTGGGTTAATTCAAGAAGTAGCTGTTAAAGTGAGTGAAAAACGATGCATTCCCACTGTTAACATTTTTGTTTGTTTAATTTCATCTTTAGATGTTGTACTAGTGAAGTCAATTTCAAATGAATTCAGTGACTCAGAGATTGACTTGTTTGTTACCAGGGGATAGTCTTGTTGACTGCGAATATGCGGATGATATATACTCCTCCTCCTAGGTGAAAATGCGGACAAAACGCAGAGTTTTCTGAACACTTTGAGGAGCAATCTTCGAATGTTTGGCATGTGATCTCCTCCTTTCACTGACTGATTGACCAGCTGGTTTCAATGTAGAAATTTGCACCGATGTGCAGCAGTTCAAGTCGCCATACTTCACTCAGCACACAAAGCCAAAGAAGAAAGTAAAAAAGAAATGCAAAATAGAGATAGTAAACAGAGGTGTGAGACAAAGGGATAGTAATATCGGAGAACAATATAGTTTCATTGGAAATCATAAGTCACAAGGAGTGGATGTATCTGCGCCATCACTGGGAACGATTTTGAGCCATATCACATAATGTCTCCAGCCATTGGTTTTTACCATCCCGAGGACCCCAACCAGTCAGGAAGTCTACACCTTCTTACGTGGCTTAAACTAACTGTTGTGGATTTCATTGACTGATGCCATGTCACACTACAGGAGTGGATTACATCAACTCATTTCTAGCTTAAAGATATGCGGTGTCATGGTGCAGAGTGTTGACCACTTCACCCATTTGTGAAGTTGCATCAGCCAGTGCCAACGGGTTGATGGCTGACGAAATCTCAGCACAGATACAGAAGGTTTATTTGAGATTTACTAATCTGCATAATCTCTGGCCTAGATGTGACATCCTGCTGACTGTCTATCAAAGGACGTGTGTACTTCCCAGCAGCAGCAGCAGCAGTTCTCTCTCACCTTCTCCTTTATAGCTGTGAGTGAGACATGACCACTGAAAGTGGGAGACATAAGAAGCCTAACCATGTTAGTTGGTATAATAGTAGGATCAATAATATTGAGGTTAGATGTTGGGTGCTAGGTAAGGAGGCAAAATCAATCGGCTAACCTTTACAACCTCATCGACTGAGATGATTACGATTTGTGTTTCGCATTCCTACCCATCGTCTTCCTCAACGGTCAATGTTAGCGGACATAGGATGAATCAGGTTGAAAAAGAGTTACCTATTGGTAATCAAACCAAAACATGCCTTCCTTCATCAGTCAATGAAATTTTCAAGAGTTGATTTGTAGGCCATCCAGGATGCGCTCACTACTGACGAGTCCCAAACTAGGATGAAACAACTATCCAATACTCCCTAACTTTCAATGGTTCTCTAACTCATATCAATCCATCGTCAAACTTGAAAAACAAATCAATGAAATGCATAACAATTCTTTTAAGACCAGTCATTTAGGGAGGTGTAGACTTCCTGGCTCAGGACCCAATGGCTGGATGGAGACTGTTGGTAATATGCCTCATCCATACATATATGTATATTCACTAAACCCCTTATGTTCTGTTTTTCTTTCTGCCTCGCATGTCTGCTTGTTATACCTCTTTTTAATTCATTTTAACCCTCTCTCTCGCATGCGCGCTCTCTCGCTTTGCCTACCTTGCTTGTTGTGAATGTAGTTTGGCAACTTGAATTGCTTCATTTCTCTGTTTAGTTCTGTGTTGAAACTTATTCATTCAGTCAAGTTAGTCAGTCAGTCAGTCAGTCAGCCAGCCAGTAATTGAATTTACTAATTAATGTTTTTTGGTGTTCACATTGTTGCTTTGACAGTTGGGGTATACACAAGACCTTCATATTTATAATGTGTACATGTAAATTTGTGTCACTATATATGCTTTAACATGTTTTAGAGAAGAAAAAATAACAACAACAGCGAAATATATTAGTGATAGATTTTGAGGTAGTACTAACCTTGACCTATCGGTATATCGTCTGGACTAAACTTGTCATATCATATAATAATCATAGGCCAACTTTTTTAGTAATTTTGCGTACACTCTGTTTAATATATGTGTACATACTGATTTTCTATTGGTTGATTCGTCTTTTGTTTAAACTATGCTTTATTGTGATTGGTTGGTTATTTAGCTGATTGGCTGAAAAAGATCACAGCATGTGGTATATACTGGTACCATTTTGTTTTTTTGGGAAGTGATATGAGACAAAGATCTTTATACATTGATATAAAGAAACGCATACCTCAGATATTGTTACTTTAGCTATGAGTACGCGAACATTTATGCATGTAAAAGTGTAATGCCTGAAGACAAGGGCTAGACAACAGGTTGTTTATTGAGAAAATCTGAATAAGGCATTTAGAAGACAAATTTCGCCGCGAGATAATGTCGTTATTTCGTAGTTTCTTTACAACCGCTTTAAAAGTAACGTGGTTAACAATAATAAAATAAGGATCATGGCAACTATTCAGTTATATAAAAAAAAGTACATACTAATGACCAATCATATTTAAATAAGTCAAGTGTGCGTCGGTGGCACAGTGACTAGGACCCTTGCCGACCATGCACATGGTCCGAGGTTCGATCCCCTGCCGACGCACACCTGATATCTATGGTCGGCCTGGAAAATTTGGGCTACCGATATCACTTGCTGAAAATTCCATACCTGTACAAAAAAATACGGTGTGGAATCAAGCTGTAATAAAAAAAGTAGTTCGTGGTAGACGAAGGTTGAAGTCTATTGATTTTTGTACACACAGTTTAGGCTGTATGTGATTAATCCCCAAAAGTGCTCCCATCACCTTGAATAACCTTGAATTATGTGAAATAATTTATTTTTTAATTTTTTATTATTTCGTTTTTTTGATTACAGCTTGATGCCACACCGTATTTTCGGTACAAGTATGGCATTTTCGGCATGTGATATCGGTAGCCCAAATTTTGCAGGTCGACTATAGATATAGGTTGTGCGTTGGCAGGGGATCGAACCCCGGACTATGTGCATGGTCGACGAGAGTCCTAACTGCTGTGCCACCGACGCACGGTCATTAATATTGATTTTGTGACCTGACATTAATAAGTGTTTTGCAATGAATGATGCTGGATTTCTATTCAGATTAATCGCATTGGGATTTTCTATATGATTTAGTAGCCATTTTGGAACATATTCTTTTTGATCGCGACATTGGAACATTCTATTGGTTTTAACTATATAGGTGTCAACGCAACAGTTGCAGGTGAACTTGTAGATTCAGTGGGAAGTAGAGTCCACAGAATTTCGTCCTTCAGTTGTAGGTACAGGAGTCGAAAATGTTCGGTATGTGAGGGAAAGAGATAAAGCGACGTCGAATGTGTGCCTGATGGCTAACCGAATTCTTTGAACTAGCTGTCAACTGCATAATCTAGTAACCCTTGAATGGTAGGTTAATAAAGATAGCTTTCTCTGGTACAGTAGCTGTCTTTTCGAGATGTGGTCTATTCTTACTGTGACAAGTAATGAAGTTCTCCTGATAACCATTAGCTTATAAAACTGAATGTATATGTCGAAACTCATCCATCAATGTGTCACTCGTGCATATGTTTCGGGCCCTTGAGAACAAACATTTCACTGGGGAACCTTTATACTGGATAGGAAGAAAACTGGTGAAATGAAGATATTGTCCACTGCATGTTTGTTTACGAACAATCGATCGATGAATCGTTCCATCATCTCTCCTAGTCATTGTAATATCTAGGAAACCGAGCTTGTTATTCAATTCGAGTTCGGAAGTCGCTCGGGTATTTGGATGAATATGATTAAATAGGGTATCATAAAGTTTTCAATGGATTTACTATTATTACTACCAATAATGAGAGTATTATCTACACAACGTTTATATAGCATAAGTTCTCCAAGCGTGTCTTGCATTTGTTTCTCGAATTTCGACATGAATATATATATGCTAACAGGGGTCCACGAGGGCTCCCCATCGCAACACCGTCGATTTGTTTGTATGCCTTTTCTTAGAATGTGAATCTAATATTTTCTTTACATATTAAAATGATGTCTCTGATGTACATTATTGTCAACGGAGAAGCAACATCGGCAAGAGTGAAGAATAGACACCAAATTCAAATGGCCTTGAATCAACCAATAAGATGACTCGATATTACATACGGATGTTGTTCATAATCTTCGTTGCAAGTTTCATCCAGATGTTTTAATACCAATAATTCAACGACTCGTGTGTGTGTGTGTGGCGGGGGGGGGAACTGCCATTCATACACTCGAGTGGAAATCTGATTCGCAACTATCATCATGAGACTATATCCATCATGAAGTCAATCATAATTCTGAATTAGTAAATCCTATAAGTGGGACTCATGCAAATTAGAATTTGCAGAGTTCTGGGTTCATCTAAAACAACACATTTTATGATAGTCAATGGTTGTCGACACGATATTGATGTACAGCCACTCAGGTGAATTTTTGTATAGACATTGGTTTGATATGACTGCAGACACTTCTATGAGAAACTGGGACCAGTTTTGATAGCATCTTAGCGATATATACCCTGTGTAATTCAGTTTCACTACATATTTGTATTATAAATACACTTTTTCATAAAAGTAAATACCACTTTTCACCTGGAATAATATAGCTGATAGATTCAAGGTCATTTGACTCTGGTGTCTTTAGATTACTGTTACCACAGTGTCTTCTGACTGGTTGTTTTCTTGCTGAAGGTTATTCTGTACTTCTTGTCACCGTTTCTCTGAAAGTTAAGCCCCATATATATTTGCGAATTGTATTTGCACACGTTAAGTCTGCTGTGATTGGTTGGTGAGTTCCTCTGGGTTAAGTTTTGTTATTGGTTTTTTCTTATGACCCGGACTTGTGACGTAACATTGATGTAAACTTTAGTCTACAATTTTTGCTTGTTTGCAGACGGCTCTCACCACAAAGGTATTTGATAATTATAGTGTCAGGAGTAGTACATGAAAGGCATTTGAAAAAACCCTGTTTGGGCTCGATTAACCGGGAAGCAGATGTATGCTGTACTATGCT